TAGAAAGCAGAGATAGCTGCCCCTGACCGAAAACCTCTGATAAAAAGAAAAAATAAAGATGGAAGGAGAAAAAGCAAGTGCTCACGGTGAGGGTCGCTGCTCAGAGAAAGGCACAGAGAAGCAAGTCGGGAGGAAAGGAAAGTTAGCAGGGCAAGAGAGGGGAGGCACAGCGGCATGGGGAGCCTCAAATGACAAGGGGAGGCCCTGGATTTGCTCGGTCAATGTGGAGCGACCAAAGCTTGGAGCAAGGGCTGCCGAGGGGCTGCTCTTCCTCTCGGCGTAGGGAAGGAAAGAGCAAACGTGGGCTTTGGAGTCGGACACTGGATTTTCCTCTGGATTTGGTGTCCTTGAGGAAGTTACCCAACTTCTCTGCACAAACAGAATAACTACATCCACTTCTTAGGCCTAAAAGCCTAAGAATTAAATATGGGAACATACATAAAGGTGAGGCATGCAGTAGGCACTCCATGGTAGTGCCCAAGATCATTATTTATTAATGATCTGATTCTTCCATTTAATTTTTTTCATGTCTGTTTCCAAAAGCTTTGCTTTCAAGGATCCATTCTTCTGAAATAGGAAACACAAAGATCCACCTTTGCTTTCTGGGAGAGCTTCTGCTCAACCCTGAAGACCCATTTCCAAAGCTTTCTACAGCTTGGCCAATATTCCTGGTGCCAAGCAAGTCACTCCCGCTGCGCTGCCTCGGTCCAGGCCTTCGTCCCACTGTACGGTGATCACGTCTGTTTCTGGAGGTACTGAAACGACTACTCTTCCTTAGCTTAGTGGCTAGTCAAGCGTGGCCTACAGAAACCTGGGGCCCCAGATGCTTTCAGAAGGTCCTTGAGTTCTGAACTATTTTCCTAATAGCTCTGGGTTGCTCTTCGCCTTTCTTACCATACTGTCATTGGCACGGTGCTGAGTTAAAACGGGCAGCACCTTAGTGCGAACCAGGGCACTTCCTGTCACACATTTCCACTGGAACATACACCTGCTCTACTTACCAATGGCCCTAATGAAGCAGGAGCAGGGCATTTTTAAAGTCTCAGCACTCAAGCACAAGTCTTCTTGACAATCCATGTGGAAGAACAGGAAGAATACCTAAAGCACTTCCGTGATGTACAATGGGTGAGCGTAATGCCTAGGAAAAGCACACGTGTGGTTGTTTGGCTTTTAGCTCCAGCAGCCACTTTTTCCAGAAAGCACCACTTTACCTGGAAGACTAACTGGCAAGCCATGGTTATCCAGATTTGGGTATCTGCAGATGTTTTCTCAAAGATTCACGAAGTGAGCCTGCCACCTCAAGGAAAGCAATGGACAACATTTGTGGCCAACGGTAAAATGCAAGCTGTTAAGGGAAAATTAGGGGTTTGGAAACGTCAGCTGCCTCTGTGAGTTTGAAACTTGCCACTGCGCTTCTCTGGTGAGCTCGGGGGGGGGGGGGGGGGGACACTGGGGGCAGGGGTTTTTTATA